TATATATATATATATATATATAGAACATATGAGGTATTGCGTACTAAAGATTATTATTATGTTTTTCTTTTAACAGCTCTTGCAGCCCCCCACCTATTGAGCTGGATAATTATAAACCTTCTTTAGACCCAGTAGTTGTTTCAACTCTTGTAAGACCTTACTCTGAAAACAAGGTTTGTTGTTTATTAAAGAAGAGTTAGGGGGGTTTTCATTGATGTGTTTAAGATTGTTAAGAGAATTGATAGTGTTGATGCATCATCTTTTTCATATTTAACAGTGATAATAGTAGGACTAGGGGACACAAATATAAATTTTGGCAAGGTAGGAGTCATCTTCACCTAAGACAGTTTCATTTTTCTAATAAGATGGTTGGCCTTTGGAATAGGTTGCCTTCGGATGGTGTAGAGGCAGTAAATTTAAGTGAGTTTAAGAAAAAGCTTGATAAGTATACAAATGATGGGGACTGGTTTAAAAATTTTTTATTTAATTATTTTAAGTTAGTTTAGAGGATGGAACATATTGTCCCCAAATATTATGTTGTGTTAATATGGCTAGTTTCAAATTACATTTATAGAAATTTTATTCTAGTATCAGGAAAGCTCAAAATTGATATTGAGTTTCATTATTAGACACAATCAAATTTCAAAGGTCACGTAATATATTTATACATTAATAAAAATATTGTAACTTATAAACATATTTTTCATTGATGTTGAAGTATGTCATTTGAGAAAAACAAATTCGTTCAAAGAGATATTGAAGTTATTTAATTACCCATTTTTTTATCTAACCTATATAAAAACCAGTGAGTGTCATGTCACGCTTGATTTCTCGAAATAGGAGTCCCCAAAATGCCTTTATCCAGATAGAATAGTTCAATTACTGTTTGCTCATTTGTTAATCAAGTTTGATTTTGCAATATTTATTTATTTCAGTTAGCTATGAGATGTGAGGTTAAGATATACTGTGGGGTGGGGTGGTAGTACTTGCCTAACTCATTTTTGATGGGCTTATGCTAGTTTTATTATAATTATCCAATGATCAACATTAATTTTATTGATTGTTTTTAACTGTAGAAATATATATTATTTCATTAAACATAATCCACAAAAATAAGTTTTAAAATTGTGATATTTAACAGATAAGTGGATGTGGTCAACAGTTAGTCAATTACACTCAACTCATACGGTTACAAGTTCTTCGTTTGGATAAATGTAAAACGTGTGTATTATTTACACATTGCACTATGAAAGAAGTACAGTATAGGACAACTGCAATGTGTAACGTTAAAACAACAACACAACTTATTTCACAAGGTACTTTTTATCGTAATGTGAGATGCAAGGGTTACATTAGTTAGGTATTTTTGGTTTTAATTATATGAAAATATATGAATATTCTAAATATGTTAATTTTAAATTTACAACCACAACTAGCGTATAGCCTGTCAAAAATGATGAGGCAAGTACTACCACCCTCACCTGGTAGCATATCCTAACCTCATATTTCATAGCTAACTTAAATAAATAAATTTTGCAAAATCAAGCTTGACCAACATAGAGGCAAAAAAAGTGCAGTCGAGGCAGTCAAACATCAGTAAATTCCTTTGTGAGCCAATCAAAATTAAGATTATTCATGAAATGAATTCATGGTGTATTCATAGAATAATTATCGGTAAAAATCAGGTAGATTAACAACTTCTAATGTATAGAAAAGCCAGTGCATTTTGGTAACACTACTTTCCAATAGTGGCTTTTATGTCATGTTGCTTAGCAACAAAAGTATAACCTAATATTGTTAGTCTAGGTACTGAAAGTATAAAATTATATGTAAAGACAACAAAACTGGAAAAATATTTGTTGATTTCTTAATTTAGTCTCTGTTGATTAAAGAGGATTGTTCTTCATTAAAAATGTTACTGATATAACAGAAAATAGTTAAAATCAGAAATGATTTAAGTTTAAAATTTAATCTATATTTATTTTCAAAATAAAATTTATGCACTTGGCTATAGACTAGGTGATCCCACACCACGTCTTTACTTTAGGCTTTTAAGGTTTGATGGCCCCCTTGCACACCCCATCATTAAATTGTAATGGGCAGGCAGTAATTGAACTATTTTATCTGGATAAAGGCATTTTGGCTTTTATGACCTCCAATTTTGGGAAGTCAGGCATGATGTAACACACACTGGCTTTTATATAGGTTAGATAAAATGTATTGCAGCTTTCAAATAACAACAAATTAAAGATCACCTTCTACTCCACACTTTCAGTCTCAACTCTTTTGGTATAAGAATTTTTAGCATAGGTGCACTTAATGTATTTAATAAATGGCTTCAAATTTGTCTGTACATTTTAATTCTGAAGTTAAGGATTAGTCCTAAGCCTAATGTGATATAGAGAACATCTCAAAACTAATACCATGAATAATGTGTGTTCTGTCACAGTTTTAGTTTTTATATACAAGTGTTTAGTTTATTGTAATTTTCTTTCTACATTTCACCCAGTTTATATAAATACTACCAAAATAGAATGATCATATCATAGCCATAAGAATAGTGTATTTGAGTATACTCATACAAGTTGATATATTTTAAGAGAAGTTATGTTAATTAATGATGAGATATTTCTTGATAAATTTTAAATTGAAAGCATTCACTGTTTAAAAAATGTAAAATTAAAAATAGTAATGTGGTTTCAGTAATGATGATTCAAGTTTCTAACAGTGAATTACAGGTAATATGATAATGCCAGCACTGATTACATAATATGATGTTGATAAAACTAAATCACATATTCTACAAGTTGTACAGAATATTCCTTTGGTTTGTTTACATTTTTCTGTTTTTTATTTCAAAGTTTGAAGTAATAAGTAGAACAAGAATGAATTACTGGGTAAGCTGAGGGATTTGTTCATATTACTTAAACTGCTTGGAGTCTTAACTTATTTTTATATCATTAAAAAAAATAAACTTTATTGACAGATTTTTACATCCAGTGAAGGCATACAGTCTCAAATCAAAAATATAAATTTGGGAAAGAAAAAAGTGAGATTTTCTGATTCTCTGGACAACACTGACATTGAAGTGATTAAAGAAACCCCTAAACAACCTACTGGTTTGGCATTGCAGCAGAATACATCATCGAAAGGTAGTTCTTCAATTCAGGAAGTGGATCTTGGTTCAATGGACCCTCAACAAATCCAGATACTTTCCACTGACTTTGAGATGAAACATGGTTGTCATTCTCCTTCCAACCTCTCATCCAACTCACTGGAATTGAAGAAAACAGAGGATACTGCAACAAAAGTACAGTTAGAAAGGATAAGTGAAAAGACAACAGGACCCCAAGTTATTGATGTAGAAACTTGTGAAAAACCAGATGAAAGCTTAGGTGTGATGTCACACATAAATTCCATTGTAGAAGTCAGACCTAACAGGAAACATGGTAACTCACGTGACACATCACCTCTCATGATTTCAATGGGACAGAATTGTGAGGAAGTTATTGTTCCACGTTTAGCAAAGCACGACCATAAAATTTTGTGTGGAGCTATATTGGGTGTGAGAAAATTATCTAAAGATGAGTTAAATACAGTGAGTCATTCAGTGGAAGCTAAAAATGCTCATGAAAACAATAAAGACCAGTGTATACAGCTAGATTCAGAAGATCCACTAGAAATTTGTACTATATTATGTAATGGAGATTCTGAGTTAAAGCTCCAAGAAAAAAATCCAGTTCTTGATACCAATTGCAATGAGTCTTTAGATTTTAGTGCACCTGAAAAAGCTCCTAATCAGAAATCACACAAGTCATTGCATCGAAAAAGGAAAAAGAATGATGCAAAAGTACATTCTGCCATTTCTTTATTTGAGTTTGATGAACACAAAAATCTCTCAGAGCAATGTGAAAATGAAAAAGACAACAAAAACTATTCAATCCATGAGACCCTAGAATCGTCTGAACCCCAGCAATTATCTGTGTTAGAAACAGAATCCAAGCTATCAAAGAAGAAAAATCCTAAAGATTCATTAAGAAATAAAGACATGCTGAAAGTAAGCAAGTCCAATGGTAAAAAAAACAAAGTGACTAAAACTTCTTGTAAATTATTGGACAAAAATTCTAAAAAGCATTGTAGAAAAACTAAGATAAAAAAAGGTGAATCTTCTAGGAAAAAGACAGTATCTAAATACACTGATATAAATATAGAAAAAAATAGCAGTTTTGATGACTTTGCTACAGCAGAAGAAAATATTTCCTCAAATTCACAGCTCAATCAGAATGAATCTTTAGGCTTAAAGTGCTCATCCTCCCAAAATAAAGAGAATTTACCAAGTAGAAGTTTAATCACACAGTCTGATTTGGAGAACAGTGTAACTGTTGTTGATGAAACACAAGATAGTTTTAAAGTAACACAGAATATTGATTCTTTAGATGTTACAGACCACAGTGTTGGGGCTTGTAGAAATAAAGGTAAAAAACAGTCAAAAATGAAACATTTAGATTTTAAGAAAAGTAAACAGTCCTTAGTACAAACTGGATTGACTGATAACTGTAATATGTTGACATGTAGCACTGATGATGACGTGGTTTTGACGGAAGCCGGAAAGTCTCGAAAAAGAAAAGTAAAACTCAGAAAATCAACTGCAAAAAAAAAAGCCAGAAAAAATTCACGTGTAGGCAGTTCAAGTAAAACTGAACTAATCTTATCTGAAGAATGTGTACAGATGGCCAACTTGAGTGAAAGCGGTACAGAAGTTTTGGATAACCAATGTTGTAAATCATTGCCACAAGTAACTAGCAAAGTGAAAAATGGTAGAGGTAGATCATCAAATAAAAAAAAATCATCATTTGTTTTCCCAAAACTTAGTAAAGCCAGTAATGAAGAGATAAAAGACATACAGGAAAGTGAAGATATAATTCCAAGTTCACAGAGCTCAGCAGAGAATACTGAAATATTTTGTTGCAAAGATGTAACTGTTTCAGAAAAATACTTGCATGAAGATGAAAGTGGCTCATCTCAGAAGCTTCTTGAAGATATTCTGAAAGGATCTTGTTCATCAAAAGAACAGATAACTTCTGATAATACACCAACTTGCAATCGTATTAACCAAGCAGTTCACCACATAGGGCAAGAAGAGCCATTCAAGTATGATTTTGATACAGCTGAGGAATCTGTACCAAAGGAAGTAAAAGTAAATAAAAAGAAAAAAAAAGATTCACATAACTCTGAAGATAATCACCAAACTGTTGCAACCTGTGAAGAGAATAATTTATTGGTTCTTTCTGAGACAAGTAATGCAGTTCAGACCCCTAAAAGAAAGAGAGGCCGTCCAAGAAGGAATTCAAGCAACAGCAATATAAGTAAAGCAGCCAATACTGTTGGCATTCATCATCAACATGAAGAAGAGTATCAGAAGCCTTTGAATACTGAAGGGGATGGAGAAAGTGAAGATATGTTACCCTCTTCTCTCCACTTCAGTAGTGAAGAACAGTGTAATAATAGCACTTCTGATAATAAGCAGGTTCTTGAGGAAGAACATGGAAATCTCTATCAACCTCTTGAAATTACTGTGAGTGTGAGTAGTAGTGGTAACTCTCAGGGTACTTTTGACCAAACTACAGAAACACAGGGAAGTGCTTTGGAAGCTGTGACTGATAAAACATCTAGCATTCATTTTGGAGTTGGGGTTAAATCCAGTTTAACTCGTAGAAAAAGTGAAAGTAATGTAATTTGGTCATCAAATATGTTTGAGGAGAAGGGGGAAAATGTGATGGAGAAAAAAAAGAACAAACAGAGAAAAGGAGGAGGAGTGAAAGAGTTCGTAAAAAATCATGTGCTGTAAAGCTGAGTGAAGGAAATGAAGTTTTTGGTATGAATACAGAAACAAAAAACTCTTGTAAAGAAGTTATTATTTCTGGAACAGAAAAAGTAACAACTCAAAGTTTAATTGCATCAACAGAGAAAGATACTTCCAACGCAGATAACAAAAGTCAATTAATTACAGGTAACAGTGGTAATGAAATGGAGAGTATTACTAAGGTTTCACAAAAGTCAACTAAACGTAGCAAATCTATGCCAGAAAATAAAACGTCTCTTCATGAAAACTCATCTCCGTATGTAGTTAAATTGACACCAGATAAGAGTTTTCTTGCCAGTGAAAATGACATTAAGAATGGCCAGATATATGTAAACACAAATAAGGACACTAATACATTATACCAAGTAAATGATAAGTCTGCAGAAGATTCACTATCCAAAGGTCTTGCTGAATTTTCTGAAGAGATGGATGTCTGTACTGGCATAAATGATAAACAAAGCTTTCCTGCTGGAGATAAAACTTCTAAAACTGTAGCATGCCATGATTCAGGTGAAGAGTTGTTTATAGCAGGAAAACATCCAGATGACATTTTGTCTCCAGTTACAGTGGCCCACAACTCAATTAAAATTTCTTCTGCAACTGATATGACCAATAGTCCGTGTGAAAGGTTATCCACAGATGTCGGGGATCCCGTTGTTGGCATATCCACAGCTGTGAAATTTCAAGATCCTGATGAACATTTCATAGCTATAGAAATTGAGTGTTCACATGAACAATCTTTTTCAAATAGACCTGTTCAAGATGTTGTTGAAAAATCTGATGAAATTTTCTGTGAGAAAAACCACTCAGAAGATGAATGTCTAACTAAAGATTGTAAGGAACTTGTTACAGAATTAGAAGAGAAAAAATCTGATTCCTTAAGAGATGAAAAAGGAGATAGTGGATTAATGGAGAAGTGTTCAGATAGCTATGAATCTTCTCAAAGTGAACAAGAACAAACACCTGAAACCAAAAAGGTGGCAGACATAAGTCCCTTGACAAGTTCCAAACTTCAGAAATTGACAAAAATTGATAGATCGGGAAGATTGAAAAGTAAAGAGTTGTTTTCTCAAACATCAGACATGAACAAAATGTCATCATCCAGAGAAAAAAATCTACCATCAAACAATGTGCAGATTAATTGTTCTTTTGAACAGTTTATGCCATTGTGTCAGTTCATATCTGATATTGGGGTAGCAGAAGAAAAGGAAATTGCTGCTGGAATTGAAGAGATGGATGATATTTCCAAGACAGACACCTATGGACTTCCAGAAAATGTTATGCCACTGTCTCAGCTGATAAAAGATAATGAATCAAAAAAAAAGGCTGTCATCGGAGCTAAGAAACGCAAAATGAGTAGTGGTACAATAACTTCTCCAGTCGTTTATCGGCTTCTTCTTCGCAATAAGGAAATACCAAAAAGCCCAAACTCTAATAAAAACAACAGAGTAAAAAAATCATGTTCAAATGATCATACTACTCAACTTGGCAGACAAAGGAGGTCATGCAGAAAACAAAACAAAAACAACATAAAGCTGAACAATTCAGATTCTTCTGTTCCCTTGGGAACTGAAGTTGTTCAGGAAGAATCTTCAGGAAACATTGATGAAACTAACTCTTTTAAGGGTAATTATAATGAGGAAAAGTATCTCAACACGCCATGTTCCAATATAGATACATTCAGTCAGGTATGGAAAGAAGTAGATAAATCTCATGCATCCTTAGATAGTTTTAAGCACTTGGAAGAATCAAGCTTGTCATTTTCCCCAAATGATGTCTCACCAACTAAAGAAGACACTTTCAAGGCTCTTCAGTGCCATGAAAAATGTAAAACTTCTCTTGTAGTTGACCAAAAGGAAGTTTTACCCACAAAAGAAATTAGTCCAGTTGCATTACACACCGTGGAAAACAACTTGTCTGCAAGTTTATTGTCCCACATGACTGCCTCAGAACCATCTAGTTTAACCAAGTCATATGGCCAAAATCTGAATCACCCTTCTAATAAAGTCAGCAGCCCAACCTCAGCACCATTCATTAAGAAAGCTCAGGGGACTGGCTTCCCTGCCTCTCCGCTGTCTCGCAGCCAAAAAATACTACAAGCAGCCATAAAAAATGTAACAGTGTCCCCACAAAATAAGGTTGGAAAGCTTCGAGACAGAGTGAAGCTTGTCTCTTCAGTTTCACCTTCTAAAATCTCTAAGCAACATATCCTGGATTCTGCATGCTGTTCATCACCTGCCAGTTCACCTCCAAAATGGATGAAACATGTTTATTCTCCTACAGCATCACCAAGTGCCGGAATCCTCAAGAAGAGAGTCTTGAAAAGTGAAAAAAGAAATGAATCTCCCACTTCACCTTCAAAGGTAAAAAAAAGTCAATTTCATCATATATAGTTTTATACTTCAGAACATATTACAGCTTTTACATGCTAGGTGAACGAGCTCAGTAACTGAATTGTTTAAAAAGGTTGCTGCTGTAACTAGGTGCCATAACTTAATCTGACCAGAAGTTTATGTGTAGTTCCTAAATGTGTTAGAAAAGCTGAGATTTTGTTTATAATAATGTGAATTTTTCATAACTTCATCACCATGAAGTACTTGTGATTTCAATCAAAAATTTTAACCTGTCTGCTATACTGCATAGCATTATTAGATTCATAAAATGTTTCTTATTGATTTTTGTTCTTTATATTTTATAAATAAGTTAAGTCATATATTTTATGAACACTTTTGGTGCAAATACTGTGGCCAGTATATAATGGTTTTAAATTGTGAAGTGCATTCAATTTACATTTATGAAACTTTTTTTTTACAGCAGATATAAATAATGTGTGATAATTAAAAATTATGACTGAGATTTATTGGTTAAAGACACTACTTCTTCCTCTTCTTTAGCAACGGAAAGTTTCTTTTGCTGTTCCTCCAGTTCAATCCAAAGTAGAGTTTGAAGCATCACCAAAAAAAGGCCGAATCACGGGCTGTGTCAGTAGATGTCTGGAATTAACTCATGGGAAGAACAAGTCAAAATCTTCTCCCTCAGATGGGAAAATGTACAGTTCATCCAAGAGAATTAACATGGAATTAATGGACAAGGTTTTTATTTTTACCATAATTTTATTTCATTGAAATATTCTGTAGATATTTTCTCATGTTGTGTAAATTAATTTATTTCAGAGTAGTTGAACTTAAATTTTAACACTAAGCTCAGAGTGAACAATATTATTAAAATGTAGTGTACAAGAATCTCTTCTGTGTTATTTCTGTCTTCTCAGAGTGTATTTGATAATAAGCTTATGGATAAGGTAGCTGTAAAGTAATTTGCTTAGTTTATACATAGTAGCATATTTTATGTAAGTGTGTACATATGTATGTATACAAAGTTTGCTGTGAGAAAATATGAGCATAAAAAATAAATATACATCAGTATGTATGCCAAAATCACTAAGTACACTATAATTTAGTTTAAAGGCTTTTAAATGATTAAAACTGTTTAACATGTATTTTTGGTATCAGGATGACGTATCACAGTCACCAGCCACATCTTCACAAAGTCTGCAACAGTCTTCTGAAGGTTACCAAAGCTCACCATCCCTTCATATAAATAGCCAGGAACCCATCTGTTCAGACCTTCTGAACTGTCCTGATCGTGTTGAACTGATTTTACATCAGCTTACATCTACTATTTGGTATGTCACACTGAACTGAACTGATTTTATATTAGTTTACATCTACTATTTGGTATGTCACACTGAACTGAACTGATTTTATATTATTTTACATCTACTATTTGGTATGTCACACTGAACTGAACTGATTTTACATCAGCTTACATCTACTATTTGGGATGTCACACTGAACTGAACTGATTTTACTTCAGCTTACATCTACTATTTAGTATGTCACACTGAACTAAACTGATTTTATATCAGCTTCTGCTTATGTACATTGTCTGATATGAAAGTTCTGAGTGTATGTGTTTCTCAAGTGTTATTAAGTTGTCCAACTGAGCTGTATTTCACAGTTGATACATGGTTTGGCTGTTCATAAAGTGGATTTAAATTTTGTAAACATTAGAATAAAGACCTACACAGCTCTTAAAGTATTGTTAAGTATTTATAATTGTTTAGTTGGTTACATTTAAATTGTTTTGAAGTCTGGTTACTGTTTAAAAATTGCATGTAACATTGATATAAAAGAATCATCTCTTAACTTTTCATTCCTAAATTAAGAGTGGGGGTTATTTGTTTATCATATAGATTATTGGTTATTGTATCTTAATGCTGTATATTGTAGCTTGATAATTGCATTATCAACTATTTGGTTGTTTAGTGTCAAACTGTTATTCCAATTTAATGAATTTTAATGTTGGATACTTAAACTTGACAGTGAGTGCAGTGTTGATAATCATCACACCTATATAGCAATATGTCCACAAGTACCTGCTATCTTGTAAAAGTTTAGTAAACATCTAACTTTAAAATATGAGTGAACAAATGTTTATCTCTAAAGCAAATTGTCACATGATAAATATAAAGTATTGTAGATCTATAATTGTACTAGGAACTTTTTTACTTTATGTAAACAGCTTGCAACATTTTTCATAGGGCTCGAGGTTTGGTGCAACTCATTCGAGCTCAAAACATCAAGACCATTGGAGAGTTTAGTGCCTTGACTGCTCCTGACATTCAGAAACTTCCAATAATATCACCAAAAGTTGAGACTACTAGAAATGTATTGAATAAATATTTGCTACAATGGCAAAAGAAAAATCAGGACATGGAAGATACTCTGAAAATGGAATCTGGTATACCATCAGAACCAATAGTTGAAGATTCTGAACCAGCTTGTCCTGTTTTACCATCAACAGAACCATTTTCAGTTGATCAAAATATAAACTCGGAAAGCTCCCTAGGTGAAAGTGAAAACCTTTCTATTGAAGAGAAGCAATCAGGATTAGAGATTACAGAGGCCACAAGTTCTACAAGTGCTTCTAGTAATTGGATTGTTTCAAGCAGTGGCTGTGTGGTTGAGATTGAAGGAAACTTGGAAAACCAAGAAACCAAAGAGATTTCATTTGCCACTAGAGATACAGCTCCTCAACCTGAACTACTTAGCGTGGAGGATATGCTTGCCAAGATGTTTTCTGATGAGGAAGAAACAGGTGAGTATACCACTTGCTGCTTTTCTTTTACTTGTGTGTGTATTGGGGTTGCATTTTTTTGAAATCATAATAAACATTTTAAGCTGGTCTTTTATAATGAAGGGAATTTGTACAAATAGAGAGAAACAAATGAAAGTCTAATTTAGTAGTCAGTTGAGGGGCACTCTGATTCTGTTAGGTTATTATTTTAATAATATTTGTTTGTGTTAATCAAGATTGTTGATAAAAATAATATAAGACAATTTTGACTATTAAAAGTATTTTGATCAGTTTTATTTACTTTCAAGTTGAAATACCCAGTTTTTATGTAAAAAATTATCATATCTATAAATACTGAGTAAAATATACCTTTGTATTTTGTAGATGAAGAAAATGTCAAAGGAACAAATCTGAGTGTGACAGATAGAAAAACAAATCATAATAGAAGTTATTCTGACGAGTCAGGTCTTTCGTCAAAATCTGTTTTACCCATATCAAGTGAAAATCCTAAGAATAGTGAAAAAATGGATTTAGTGAGTGCCAGTAGTACAGTTCTCTTGTCAGATGGACCAGGAATCACTGACAACAGGGTCTCATCACTAAATAATGGTGTATCTACTGACTCCTCTTCTTTGTATACAGGTATAACTAGTAATATTGAAAACAGAGAAGAAAGACCAGAGGAGAATGATACACTGCAATCAAAAGAAATTAGCTGTGATGCTACACCTTCTTCTTCTGTTGCAAGCAACTGTGAAGAAGCTGTAAAAAGTCCTGAAAAAGAATTGGGGAGTGTTGAGAAATTATGGACTTTATTCACTCCACAGGTTATTGAAAATCTCACTACTGTTGAAATAATTAAGATGATTAACATGTTATCTAAAGTGGCACTAGCTAGGAACACAGAAAATATGCCCCTGTAACCCATGTCAAAATGGGAGTGTTTAGAAAGACCGTATATGTATTAGAAGAAAAGATTAACACTTCAACTTCAGTTCTTCTAACATTTTTTGCTTCAAACGTAACATTTTTGGATTGAAACAATAGAGGTTCGTGTAATATCTTTAAGTTACTTAAGCTTCAGATTTTAGTCGTAGTCTGAAAATGGAAATCAGATAACCTGCCTGGTGCCTGTAAGGTAAAAAATTTATAACACAACAAACTTGTTTTAATTGATTGGTTAAGTGAATAATGTTTTAATAAGATGTCCATTGATGTTTTTATGTGACTTTTTGAGGACTGTGTTTGTATAACAAGGAAAGAATTGTTTCATACATTTTTTTATATGAGTGGCTGTGAATTGTTAAACTTTTGATATGAGTTTTTTAAATTTTTTTAAAGAGAATGTCAGACTTAGTGAAATTTACAAAGTACAAAGATGTTCTAAAGTGTGAAAATAATAGTATCGATATCTGGCATTAGTAACCAAGAACTACAGAAAGTTGGCCCTTTGTCAGATAACTCTGATGTTAAGTTTTTTTAAATAAACAGCTTCTGTGAAGAAGTCTACCCATTTTAGGTATTGTCGTTTCATGTAGACACTTAAACAATCTTTAACACCATTCAAAGTGTTTCAATTTTGAAGCATGAAACTGTTTGACTTGAGTTCAATCAGAAATTTATCAGTCAAGCTCAAAATTTTGTAATGGTGAAATTGTTAGTATGCCTTTTGTAGAACCAAGATTTTGGTTCAATGTTTAGCTTAGTTTTTTATTTTAACTAAGCTTGTAAATTTTTTTTAAATAAAATTATGTATGCCCAACATACAGTACTGCAATTTTTTTTATTCATTTACATATTATTTGATATTGGAATTTCTATAAAAATGAGTGTGCAAGCTAAATGCTGGTCTGTACTGTTTGCTACACGGCTTTCTATTCAACACAGTTTTAAATATTTGCATTTCACTGAATTCAAACATATACTTCCAGAACATTATAATAGATTATGCTACAGTCATAGTTTATTATTGTTTGTTTTAATTTTCTTTATGACAGATAAAGCACACTGGCTATATATATATAATAATATATAAAATTTGCCATCACCAAGACATCTCAGTAACATTTGTGTGGCCTTCAGTGGTTCTTTCCTGAATTATTAAGCAGTTATATGATATATTAGTTCCAAGCTCTCCTTGTTTGGTAGAAAAGATAACATTTTAATTTATGTTCTTTGTTTTGTAAATGAATGTTTTTATAACAATTATCATGTTGATCTAGATTTTGAACCTTTGTGTTCTTCCATGTTGGTAGTCAATAGAATAAAAAGAATACCCTTTAACACACTGGAAATTATAAATTCATTTTGAACTTTTAATGATAATCTACTACAATACCTATAAGAAAAGTAAAAGAAACACCTATAAAATCACTACTTTTTAAGAGATAAAATTAATAAGAACAGAATGCAGATATATATATTTACAACACCTCCCAACCACCCTTTAAAGTAGTATGGATGATGTCTTGGGCCTTGGCAAATGCTTTTGTTGTTTGCACCAGCTGATGGACTTTTTCCACTTTGGATAGGGTGAATTGTCCTTTCAATGTGACCTGGTCTCCTCTCAGTTATACAAAGCCCAGACCTTGGTCCATATTATGGCCATCTCTTGGCAATACTATTTCAGCACTGGGATTATAAGGTTAGCTGTATGGTGGGTTGGTCCTCTGCTGCCATTGATGTAACTCTTGACTGCCATTGAGATGGAGAGCTACTCTTTCACCTTAAGTTTTATAGCCACTAGGGTTGGCAGTGGTGCCTGGTCAATGTTGGTGATAGTGTTTTTGATCAGCTGGTCAGCCCCTTTTTCTTTGCTCTGAAACTCCATGCCAGATCCCAGTTGATCATGGAGAGGACTTCAGCTCTGGGATTGTTTTACACAGCTTTAAAATGTGTCCCACTGGAGCTAGATACATGTCTGATGGTTAAGCACCTACTGACAGAACACTTAATGGCTGGCTCTCGGTGTGATGAAGGTCACCTTGATTCGTTCGTTGAAGTTGGAACTAGCATCCGTGGGCTTAAGCCACCTGCAAGCTTGATTCTATCAGTGGTGTTGTGTCCGTTGGCTTTTTAGTTGCTGGTGCCAGTATATCCAGGGTGGTTTAGGCATGGTACATGGTTGACAGTGGCTGCCCAGTCCTACGAGACCTTAGGGCTAGTCCAATAACCAATGCAATAAAGTTCCACTGTCTCAAACATCAAGCCAGCACTGGAGATTTTGGGATTGGCCACGTGTGCCAGATTTTCATTTCCTATATCGTCCATAGAAAGTATATCCCCAACATCTGCAACCTTTTCACCAACCAGGCTTCTTTGGTTCTCCGATTGACTATAGCTGTGCTGCCCTCTGTCGCCACTTACGTGACAACTGCCAGCAATGCTTTTCACTTCGACCTAAACGCATTCCCTCCACTAATGCCTTATTGTTAAGTAAACAGTGTCCAGATTCAATCGGAAAGCAATGGGGTCGAGGCTACAAAAGTGGTTTCTTCATACGTGAACTGACTCAAATTATCAGAAGCCAATCTAGACTTCAAACTGTTAGAATCAGTGAATGCTTACAGCCTTACATCATCTCTCCTTTTCGACTCTGTTACAGATACCAGATTAATACATATATATTTACATCACCATTACATGTCGTTACATACACTAATAGTTTAAAACAGATAGGCTGGCTCCTGGGACAATTACTTCGGTTAGCTTCTCAGATTATGTCATGCAAGCTCCACCTATACTACCCATTGTTATGTATTACTATGAAACCCAAAAAATCAGCTTAATTTAAATCTCGGCATATGTTGGGCATAATAGCCTCATTGTTGATAATACTGTGCAGGATCACATTGACCACGTAGCCTCATTGTTGATAATACTGTGCAGGATCACATTGACCACGTAGCCTCATTGTTGATAATACTGTACAGGATCACATTGACCATGTTTGACCTTGTAAGTGATACATATTATAATAGTTTACTTAGATTTACGTGAATGACAATGAAGTGCTAACATTTCTTTTATATTGGTAGTGTAGAATTTTAAAAAAATTGAGAGTTACACCAAATTACACAATTTTATTACTAGACAACCTCCAATTATAAGATGTTTTTATATAGTCATTCTGCTCTGTTTAATAAGTTAGTGTAGAATATTTTCTTCAGGATTCAGGTGTACACATTAAATTATAACTATAATAGGAACTTTACAAGTTGGATTTAAAAGAAAATAGCAGCAAAAATATTAACAGTGGTAGTTCACGTAATATTAATTCACATCTGTGTGTTAATTCAAGTATAAACCGAGTTCACTCCCACTCAGTCACCACAAAAACAAGATAATCGTAGTTCTAATATGCAGAAGGACATGTGTAGCAATTTGTTGTAAGTGAAATGAAAGATTTCATGGTGTTTAAGTCAAAATGGAAATAAAACTACTCCAGCAAAGTTTGTGGTTACTGACCGTTGGATAGTGATATAACTATCGCAAGTAAAACAAGTTAAATGTAACTGAAGAAAGATTGAAACTGGGGAGAATCTAATAAATAAGCACACATGATCAGTGACACGAAGACAGGGCTTCTCTCTGAGACATTGACGCCTTACTTCGGAAGTCGGAATGAATCTGAACTAAACAGAGTTAAAATCACTTTCACAATACACATTCTATATCTGTAACTGACTAATCGGAATTCGGAAGTAACTGCATCACGTGAGAGTCGGAAGGTATCTCCCATACCCAAGGTTTAGGTAGAACACCGTACTCCCTTGAAACAGAAGATAGGTTGATTGGTTAGGCTATAAAAAGTAACATATCGGGCTTCATTTAACGCATAACTTCACCCAGATTTAGGATGTTCAAAAATGAAACTTAGAAAAAGTTAAATATTTTTCTAGATAGGAAATATACACTATAGGAGAGTAAGATACGTAGTATTTACATACTATAGATTTTCTCTGTTATCTTAGGATTGTTCTCAAAACAACGTCAAAATCAACTTTGTATTCAGTTAGAAAGTTATAATGAAATCCACTGAACACCGCAATTTTCACATCAACTGGACGCAAATAGTATGCAATGCATAACATAACACTAAACATCTTACACTTAGGCAAGACTCGCTTGCGTGATGAACATCTTCAACTGACACATATCCTAACTAAAACAAGAACGTATGAGGAAATAATGCAAAACCCTTCAAAGTTACAATAAAACAGCTATTTTAAAGTACATTAAATGAAATGCAGAATTATACAGGTGAATAAAAACCTTTAAAATGATAAATATTTACGGATGATATTTATATAAATTTACGGGGAAACAATCCTTTACTTACAACGTAAAATTGTAGCACAAATATATCAAATATATTCACTACATGAAAAACAGAATACCATTTCAACATGCATGTATATATATAAATTGAACATGAAATGGGAAAGGGCAGAAAAAAATTATGAAGATAACACTCAAAACAAAAGGGAATACTCAACTGATCATACAATAGAGAAAAGTATACACCTGGAAAAAAGTTAAGCACCACCGTGTTTTTTTCAAGTGATTCAGATTCGACGTTCTTGTGACTGATTATAAATTACC